ATGCTCCTCACTTGTACCGTGAGCGGACGCTTGAGGGGCTCGGAGTACTGTACTTTCACGTTGCGGGAAATAGGCAGGTCCACTCATGTACGTGATACTGTGGCTACCAAATACTCTAGCGAGTTTGGCGAGCTTACCGTTTGTAGGCGAATTCAGCTCTTGACTCGTGCAGGCGAGGCGAGCTTCATGCAGGCGGACTTGGCGACTGCATGGATTTGACCAATCACTCTGTGAGCGGCTACTTGATGGGCTCGGAGTACTGTGTACCTTCCCTTCACGTCGTGGGAAGTGGGAAGGCCCTTCCCTGTACGTGGCATAGCAACCGCCAAGTACTCTGGCGAGTTTGACGAGTTTGCTGTTTATAGGCGAGTTCAACTCTTGGCTCGTGCAGGCGAACCAAGTAAGCAGGTGGATTTCGGTCACCTGGATGATGTCGACTCGTGCGGACAAGTCAATCATATAGGCAAATTCATGGTCGTCAAGTGTGGGCGAATTTAGTGGTTGCATGGCCTTGGCTCGTGCTGGCGAGTCAAGTACGCGTGTGAGCCATATTTTCAGTTCGTGTGGGCAATTTGAATACGCAGACGTATTTCACGTTTGTCTGCTAAGGTAATTTTTACCGTCTACACCTATATATGGGCATTGTAATCTTCTTCAATATTAATCAAAGAATTATGTGGTGTGGCTCCCGAGGATGTATGCACGATTGTTGAACCTCGTTAAATCTGGTGTGTTCTTTCTTGTTTACTTTCATGGAAGTTTTTATCTTTTATTTGCTGTGATTTTCCTACTTTCCTACTCTCAAACACAAGGTCCGGAAGGGCAAGGGTTCGATTTGATTGTTTCGAATCCCTAACAACTGGTATCAGAGCTTCATTCAGAAGGATTGTGAGAGAGCCATCGTGCTTGTGGGAAAATTGGTAATAAAACAATGAAAGAATTGAATGTTTTATTCCCTCTAACTGCTTAGAAAAAGAACGTTTACAACTCTCTCAATCTTAATTACAATTTAACTTTCCTGATTACAAAAGAGAAGAAGTTCGACGCAGATCCTCCCCTTTGTTTAAAACTGGGTTCTTCACAGTGGTGATAGAATGCCTCCCTCGAATGCTCGCATCGAGCTTACTTTCCGTTGATGGTTCGATGTTTCGCTTCACTGGAACGATATCTTCTCTTCACGATTTGACGCTATGGAGAACTTGCAAAGTAAGTTTTAAAACTCTGAATGAGTTTAGAAGAACTTGCAGATCAAGTTTGAAACTCTTAACGAGTTAAGAAACTCTGAGTGAGTTATAACTCAATGGAAGAGTTGATTGATTTAACAAAAAATCGGTTTGTAAGCCAGGTTTGATGAAAGCTCCAAGAACAACTCCGAGTGTCTGAAGATTGCCGAGATCCTTCTTCTGCCAAGAAGTCTTGTGTCTATCTCTAAGAATTCCGATCCAGAAAGAGAGAGAGAGAGAGAGAGAGAGAGAGAGAGAGAGAGAGAGGAGAGAGACCCTAACTCAGTTGAGTTTACCCATATTTATAGGGGATTAAGGGGTATAACTGCCCCCTTAATCTGCTCCTAAGTGGGACGGAAATCCCTCTAATCGTGAAAAAAATGGTTTTTGGAACCGTTCATCTGGGGCTTGAATGAGTCAAACGCCAAAAATGACGTTCTGGGTCTGAACTCTGTGTTTTAGACTTGAAACGCAGAGTTAGGCCTGTTTTAGGTTGAAAACACCGTGTTCGTATAGCATTGTAAATCTGAAACGCAGAGTTAGGACTTAAAGATGAACTCTGTGTTTTGAGTCCATGAACTATGTGTTTTCAACTAGAACGCTAGGATGAACCCTGAGTTTTGATGTTGCGACGCAATACCGACCTCTGCGTTTTGTTGCTGACATACGGGGAAGACCTCCGCATTTTGGTGTTACAACGCAGGGAGGACCTCTGCGTTTTGTTCTGATAACGCGGCCACGAGCTCTGCGTCTTAACTCTAGAACACAGAGGCGAGCCCCAGGCGAGCTTGGTATGCTTCAGGCGAAGTCTAATGTTCAGGTGAAGTTCAGTCTTACAGATGGACTTCAGAACATAACTTGCTACAAAGAACATGTCAAAACTTTCAAACTATAAGTAGGAATTAGACGAATTATATATGAAAATCGACTATCTCGGCGAGACGGAGCCATCCAAACCTCCAAAGGGGGTTTGCACCGTCCGTTTTACCAAATTCCCTACGGTTTGAGAGATATATACGTTTTAATTTGAAGAGACCGATAATTTCTAGTCTCTTTTGCTAGAGCGTTGTAAAGATCGTCACGTTGTAACTTTCGTCTTGACTCCTTGAAGATATGAGAGTTATCAGATTGTCACTCCCGATGTTAATTGTGAAGGTTGTTAAATAGAGCTTTCATCAGTTGTTGTGAAGGTCGTCAGATTATAACCTTCATCGATCTACGTAAAAGTCTTCAAATTGTAGCATTCTGGAACCTATCAAATTATAACTTCCATTATCGGTGTTTGATGGGATCAGCTATCTACTATGATTTTTAGACAACCTACAGAACCCCCTCCAAAGTTTTTAAAAGTTCGCGGTTGATTGGGACGAATTTTTAAAATACTTTCGATCTCAACTCTGATCTTGGAGCTGTTGATTCCTTATCATAAAAGAGTCATTCTCTGCATTCGCTTCGAAGGCATCTTGGTTGAAGGGATTTGCCACGCAGGACCCGTATGAAGGTATGCGTCATAATCCTACTTTTGGAATGCGGGGGTGGCCCCTGTCTTTTGAACTTGAGACGCGGGTCTCACCCTTGCATTTTAAATTTGGAACCCGGGTGTGACCTCGGCATTGTGGTTTTTACAACGCGGGTCTGACCTTGGCATTTTGACTTAAGACGCGGAGGTGGCTTTCGTGCATTTTTTATTAAGTCTTTGAGACTTGTCTTTAGCTCATTTGTTTCAAGGCTCGACTGGCATCCATTAAGCTGACGGGCCTACAAACATGCATCGGATTTTTGGCAAACCCTCGGCCATCAACGGATTTGACAAACCTTTACCGACTACCGTTTGAGTCGAGCTAGCATGTGAATTATTTGAATCCGTTTCACATGTAATGTTATGCTAAGAGAATGAACCCTCTTAGACTTGATGCTATGATTTTAAATACACAGACTTTGTAATTTTTATGGGAAAAGACTAACCGACAACGCGTATTAGGCATAGACTTATCTCTAATTAGGGATCGAGATAAAGTCTCACATACGTGTAAGGCATGGATTTTAGTGCTACGATGTTGAATACATAAGTTTTTCACTGTTTCTTCCTTTATTATGTTTTCACTTGAAACACTAAAAGAAAGTTGGAAGTGCCAGAAGTATAGTATTAACTTTGCATGAATTTTGACTTAGAGTGAAATTCAAATTTTTTTTTATTATCACTAGGATAATTCTAAAAAATCTTTAATCCACTGGGGATTTTATAATGAAAACTTTCTATTCTTATTAAAAAGGATTTAACAAGCTCATTGGGGGTTTGACTGTTAGAGGTGTGATGTTAACCTAATAGTATTTAATGGGCCTATCGCTCTATTAAAGAAAGTCGATAAGTTGATTTGGTCGTCAGATGTGTGATGTTAACTTGATAGATTTGTGGACCTATCGCTCTATTGAAGAGAGTCGATAACTTGATTTGATCGTTAGAGGTGTGATGTTAACTTGATGGGAAAAATGTTACGATCAGAGTAACTTTGAGTACTTATCATCCTATTGAAGAGGATTGATAAGTTGATTGGTCGTCAGAGGTATGATGTTAACTTGATGAGTTTGTGGACCTATCGCTCTATTAAAAAGAATCAATAAGTGGATTGTCAGAGGTGTGATATTAATGTGACATAATTTTATTGCGATTAGAGCAACCTTGAGGACCTATCGCTATATTGACGAGAGTCGATAAGTTAAAAATATTGTGATTAGAGCAACTTTATGGATTTATCATCCTATTGAAGAGGATTGATAAGTTGATTTGTCAGATGTGTGATATTAAAGTGACAGAAGTTTGTTGCTATCGGATCAACTTTGAGGACTTATCACTCTAATGGAGAGAGTCGATAAGTTGATTGTCAGAGGTGTGATATTAATGTGATAGGATTTTATACTTGTGATTTGAATAAGATTTTGAAGACTTAGCGTCTTTCTAGGAAAGATTGTGATTTGAGCAATTTTGAGGGCCTACCATCCTATTGATAAGGATTGATTAGTTGATTGTCAGAGGTGTATTGTTAACGTGATAGGAATTTGTTCTTGTGATTTGAACAAGATTTGAGACTTAACATCTTGTTGGGGAAGATTACGATTTGAGTTATTTTGAGGACCTATCATCCTATTGGTAAGGATTGATAAGTTGATTATTAGAGGTGTATTATTAATGTGACAAATTAGGAGTGATACAAGCTGAATTTATACTCCATGGGGATGTTTATTGTCAGAAGTATAATATTAACTCCAAGATGTGAAAGATTTGTTACTCTTAATCCAGTGGATTCCAAGTAACTAAACCACAGTCTTGATTAAGACTTAGCAGGGGAAGAATTTTGCAGTTGACAGAAGTGTTTTGTTAAACATAATAACTTAGAAGATTTGTTACTCTTAATCCAAAGGACCACAAATAAACCAACCCCCAGTCTTGAACAAGTGCAGGAGGGAAAAAAAAGGGGTAGATAGAGCACATTACCTAGTGGGCCACTATCCATCAAGTCGTTTTGTGACGTTGGAGTATAACAACTATAATTGGAATAGAGGCACATCACACGGTAAGTTCACTACAACAAAGTTGTTTTTTTATAGCGTTGAATGATAGCGTTTATGTTGTAAGTGCTATAGATCATATGTGACTTATTTTTTGATAGCGTTTGAAAAATTTTAAACGCTATAAATACTTGATGGCAATTTTTTTTCTGGCACGACGCGTTAAATACTTAGCGGGAGACTAAAAATTAAAATATGCCGCCCCAAAATTTCATTCGTCTCCCCCACACCCCCAAATTTCATTGGTCCCGCCCCGAGGAAAAAAAACCTAACCCCAAAAATTTTCGCCTGCCCTTAAATCTCCGCTTCATCTTCTTCAACTTCAGACATCGCGTTCTGCCTCTATCGATCAGATATCAAAGCAAGCTTTTACCATTTACCGATGGTGTCGAGTTACTGGATGGTCGCCCTCCCCATCCAGAGCTCCGCCGCCTCCCTATGGAGTCGCCTTCAGGACTCAGTCTCCAAGCAAGCTTTCGATACTCCTCTCAATCGAGTAGCCAATCAAACCCTAACCTCTCAATTTCAGTGCTTTTATTCTGATCTAGGGTTTTAACAACCTCTTCTCCCCTTTCTGCAGTTCAACATCCCCGATCTCCGCGTCGGAACCTTAGATTCCCTTCTTACCCTCAGTGATGATCTGCACAAGGTAATTTCATGAGATCTTGACTGAATTTTGGGTTTTCATGGTTTTGGTGTTGATTCGCAAGATCTGGCAGTCGAATGCTTTTATAGAGGGAGTTTCGCACAAGATCTGGCGACAGATTGAGGAGCTCGAGAGGGCTTCGGGCATCGATGTCGGGGCTACGACAGTTAATGGAGTCCCTGTTGATTCCTATCTTACAAGGTTTCTACAATTTCCTGCTGCAATTTTTGGTTTCCCCTTTTTTGTGATAATTTGAAGATGTAATGGTTTAGATTTGTCTGGGACGAAGTGAAGTACCCGACAATGTCGCCGCTTCGGGAGATTGTTGAAGGAATTCATGTCCGAGTGCCAAAATTGAGGATGACATGAAGGTCAGTTGAATTTATAAGCCAACTTTTATTGATTGTTGTTTCATAGTTTGCATTATTAGAATCTTCACTGATATTGCGTTTATCTGACATCCCGTAGTTTGACAATATTAGGTAGTATAATCAAAACAACTTAGAATTTAAATAAAGGTGTCTGCTTTCCCTCCTCATTCTCCAAAATTAAAGATCGAGATTAACAAATGGTGGAACCCTCGAAAAAGCGATGGATTCCTCTCGAAGCGAACCCCGACGTCATGAATCAGGTCCTCCCTTTCGTCTCGATCTCAATTAAAATTCTAGGGTTAGGGTTTCGATCTGATCGAATTTGATTATTTGACTTGATGATCGTAGTTCATTTGGGACATCGGAAGTCCCCGAGGACCGAGTGGAGTTCAAGGAAGCGTGGAAGTGGGGAAAGTATGTACCTTACTTTTTGTTAAAGATTTTAGCTTCGGTTGATGCTGAATTTTTTGGTTAATTTAGGTTTTTTTGTTTTGAAGTTCTTGGTGGATGTGGGACTCTACGAGAGCAAGGAGGAAGTTGTTAACAGAAAAGTATTGGGACAAATTGATCAGGTCTGAAAATATTTTTTAGGGGAGAAATTCTCTTTATGGTAAAATTAGGAAGATGCTTTTTCTTTGTAATTATGGTGATACATGTTTACGGAATTACGGTATTATGACTCACATTTCACAGTACATGTTTTTTTTCTTTCTAGAAAACAATTTAAAATTAGCTAATTACGTTAAAACACACCGATAAGTCATCTAGCTTCATTTTCTTTAGCTACAATTTTGCTTTCTGATACACAAGTTTATCCAGTAAGGATCTTGCTGCAGCAACTCTGCATAGAAATAATAGATAAGTAATTGCTAACTACGTTTACCATACAAAATCGACCAATTAGCCTTAGCGATGAAAACAAATGGACATTTCAATTTCAAATGTCTTAACAATATCACCTTTTCTTGTGGTCATCACCTGAACAATTGAGATTTTTCTGCATTAACATTAAAATTGCTCATTAATGATATATGCAAATCAAAGTATTGCTAAATTTGCACGTTGTCTAGAAGTAACATCATCAAAAACTATCAATGGTAAGGTTAACTGTAATCAACGAGGCATTAGTTGTATAGAGTAACAGTTTGTACAATGCAATGAAAATTCAGCTATTTTGCATACCCCATGAGTATCCCAGATTCCAAATATTTCTTGTACAGATTCCTCAATCACATAAGAGTGCACTTGTTATGCATGCTTAGCGAGTAACTTTATTTAACACCCTTAAACGGCTGAGGTCTTCTTTTATGTTTTAATCTTGTTGAAGAATTCAAATGTTATTTGAAATATAGTAGTCTCACTTTCTTTGGAACAATTCGCATTATTAGCTAATTGGGAGTTTTTTTTTGTCTTGAGCAGAATCTGCTGGGTGATCCAAGATGCTCTTTGCTTGTTGCAAAGGATCCCGAAGATAGAACTGATATGGTGATCACATCATATGGAGATGCTATTTCTGTATGTAAATGTCATCTATCTCCTGGTTTCCTTTTCCTTCGTATTCACAGGAGTTCTGGGTATCAGTTTCTACTGTGTATTCTTTTTTACTGTGCATATATATTAGTTTGTGACTATATCTAAGTAATTTGGGCTTCTTTGCATCTTACTGGAGGATGTATGTTGAGCTTAAGTGATAACTCATCCAAAAACCAGCTACTTATTGCTTATGCAAGTACTCTTACTGATGTAGGTAATTCTACCTCTGACAGCAAGAGCTACTTTGAGTATTGCTGTGGCACCATGGTTGAAATTCATTTGCTTAGTGTTTATTGAGCATCTTGAATATGCATTTTTATTTATTTATTCACTATTTGATTCTGAGATCAATCACATGCCAAATTTTAGAGACATTTTGATGTCATTTGTCATGCTTTCTCTCACAAACGAGCAACATAGTCTTTGGCTTATTATAATGCTTAGTTCTAGTTGACCTCTCTTTTGCAGTAAAAGTCTTGTAGTGGCATTTTCTTTAATTTTCTATTCATTTTATTTACTAAACTAACTGTGTACAACTGAATTCTTTTGCCCATGTACAAATCTCTATGTGGCATGTCATGTATATTCATTTTGTTATCAATCTAGTTAGGTTTCAGTTTTAAAATTCTTGATCCGTAAAGTATTGAATTTGTCCATGTTTTATGTTTGAACACTTACATCTCTATACTTAGTCGTTTTATTATTTGCTCAGACTGGCTATCGCAAGAGCACTCTATCACAAATCATCGATATTGATTTTGGATGAAGCTACTTTTTCTTTGGATAGCAGGTCTGAACAGTTAGTGAGATGAGCACTGGGGCACATAGTGACTAATCGCACAGTAAGTATAACATGCTATTTGTTTTCTTCAATCCATCGCACAGTAAGTATAACATGATCCTGAGTGAGTATCACTTCCCTCTCCTCTGTTACAAATGAATTTCTATTTAAGTTTCCAAACAAAGATTGAACTGGCAAATAATCAAAAGGAGAAATTTCTAGAGAAAGAATAGTAGACAGCTAATGGTCATGCCTCTATTGTAACCCTCTGTTTATATTTTGCGTCTGATATATTTTTGGTGGAATGACAATAAAAATTGTTGGTACTAACTTTCCATTGAATTGTAAATTAGAAGTATGTAAATGTCAGGGTCATGTCTTCTGATATGTGTACTTGTGCAGAGTGTTGAAGAGGCAGAATGTTGTAGGGCATATGATTCTGCTACTAAGGCATACACTTCATCTTTTGACCGCACGAAGCCAGCAGAGGAGGTACATACTGTTATATATACATATATCCTTATCTATAGTTCTTGTGTGTTGATCGAATCATCTCCAGCACTAACAACTTATATGCAGGCTGTTCTTAGAGAAGCACACGAAGTTGCGGTTCAAAATGCTCACTGAAGTCATTCACTGAAACTTTTGTGGCAAAGATGAAATCATATCCTTAACATTGATGCAGTTACATTTTTTCTATTATTTATTTTCAATACCTTTTCTATTAGTTCATAAACTTGTCTGGTACAGTCACAGGTAAAATTGTTGTCATGAAAAGTATAGCAGCATACAGAAGTGGCTTGGACATTAATACAAATGTCAGTAAGAAGGCTGGCGAAGAAGGTTTGCTTGAAGATTTACATGGTACGTGCAAAGAAAGGCTGTACGAGAGACCTGATTGGTGAATACATCGTATGATTATGTATTTATTGCTTTTTGAAGTACATGATGCTTATGTTGCAAATTTTATTTTCTACAGCTGGGAAGCATATGTAATGCACCAAAGTTAGTTTTTGTTGTTCTGTGTACTATGGTTAATTTCTTGTACTCCATGTTGGATTATCCAAAGACTAGTAATTTGTTTTTTTGGCACATTTGTGTTGACTCTTCTTGTATGCTACAACTTGGTTATGTATCAGTTTGAACCTTTAAATGAAATATTTGCATTTATGGTTGTCACAATTGGAAGTTATTTCTAGTTCAACCTCTAAAGGTTTATAGGCACAACTGAAATGCTATAAGAAGTGGAAACAATTGCTGAAATGCTATTAAAAGAAGAAAGACAACATTCGTTGAAACGCCATTGTAGTAACTCAAACGCTATCAAATGTAAGACAATAGCAGCGTTGAAATGCTATGAATGAAAACTAACTAATAGCGTTTTTTCAACCGCTATGAAAGATATTTTTCATAGCAATATAGAAATGCTATTGAATATTCTTTTATAGCTACATAAAAACGCTATGGTTGGAAACTAACTAATAGCGTTTTTATGTAGCTATAAAAGATATTTGTCATAGCAATATAGAAACGCTATTGAATACTCTTTTATAGCTACATAAAAACGCTATGGTTGGAAACTTTTTGATAGCGTTTGGGGAAACGCTATGTAAAGCCACAGACCTACTATAGCGGGTTCTGACGCAGCATTGATTAAAACGCTATGAAATAATACCATAGTGTTTCTCGGCCGCTATGGTAGATTTCAGGTGTTGTAGTGGCTGCTATCTGAAGAATTTGGCTATCAGAGATAACTGTTAACGTGATAGCTTTGTGGACCCGCCATCCTATTAAAAAGGATTAGCAGATTGATGGACTATCAGAGGTAGATGTTCACGCGATAGTTTTGTGGACCTATCATCCTATTGAAGAGAATTGGTAAGTTAATGGACTGTCAGAAGTAATTGTTAACGTGATAGTTTTGTGAACCTACCATCCTATTGAAGCGAATTGGCAGATTTATGGACTATCAGAGGTAATGTTAACGTGATAGTTTTGATATATTTTGTGGTTAACAGAGGTATTCTATTGAACATGACAACTCAAAAAATTTATTACTCATAATTCAATGGACTACAAATAAACTAACCCCCAGTCTTGAACAAGTGCAGAGAGGAAAAGGGTAGACATGACACATCGCCTAGTGGGCCACTATCTAACGAGTTTGACTATCAGAGGTAACTATTAACATGATAGTTGTTGGACCCACCATCCTACTGAAGAGAATTGGCTTCAGTGGCCGTAGTATCTTCCCCTTCTGATTAGAAAGATTAGGCTTGGTCCCATTGCTCAGGTTGATCTTATTTATTTTGTTCTTCAGCTTTAACCCTGGCAATAATTTTTTGAGCATGTTCACCTTGAGAGATTAGTTGTCTCTAGGAACGATATTCTACAATCCTTATTTGTGCTAGAAGGTTGGTCTGCAAGTTGTGTCGATAAGTCTCCACTAAGAAAGTTTGTGTCATACCTGACGAACATAGAAGAGCCATGCTTCGGAACCTTTTGACGAAGGCTTTGACGGGCTCTCTCTTCTTATGCTTAGTGGCGAGAAGGGTATGGATGGAGACTTCTGTATCCTCTTTAAAGAATCTTGACAGGAAGAGTATCTCTAGATCTGTCTACTTTTGGATACATCCGGCAGGCAGTTTTATAAACCATTTAAAGGCAACTCCCTTGAGGGTGCCAATGAACAATCAAGTCAGTATGGTGTCGTTTGATATCACATTCCCAGTCTGTGACTTGAAATAATAGATATGTGGTTCGGTGATCCTGTACCGTCTAAAGTTTGTAGCGTCGGGACTTCAAACTTTGGAGGATAAGGGGTTATATCCCATTCGGCAGGATATGGCCTGGCAACTCCCTCCTCTTGGAGCTCGCTTCTGTTAGTAATAGCGTTGAGACGGGCTTCCAATTCTTTTATTTTAGCTGATTGAGGATTTTTCTCATTCTCGGCTTCTTTCTCTTTTTCAGATAAAGAGACCATGTGATGAGCTTTTTGATTAGAGGTCTCGTTCACTTTTTGTTTCGCCTTCGATGTGGACGATCCCCCTTTTAGGAGGATTCCTGCCGAGGTTGTGACTCAGCTTTCTGCAAATTGGTTCTATTGGCAATGATCTGAGCTATCATATCCCGAAGTTGGTTGATGGTTTCCTACTGTGCTCGGAGCATGGCCTCCTGCTCAGCAACCCTCTTTGAGAGATCTTCAAAAAATTTTGCCATGTGGGCGAAGCTCTCATGTCCAACGAAAAAGCTTGATGATTGGGACTCTGTAATGGCTGAGTGTTCATCCTCGGAATTAGTTTCTCTGGCTAATCTTTGATAGTTAACCGAAGGAATGGCTCCCGTTCGAGTCCGAGTATGTTGATAAATTCCATCGGACTCGTTAGCGATTTCTCTAACGCTTGGAGAATGATCTGTCTCCGACTCATCAGAACTAGGGACTGATGACTTCCCTCTACTGATCATGTTGGAAGTAACTCCAAAGTATTCACCCTCTGAAGTCTTCTTCATGTAATGTCATCCTCGCTTGCTTGGTCAAGCAACGCTCGTCAATCACTCGAACACTGATCGCCTAGGCACATATGTACAACATTAGCATTCTGAGAGGACCATAGAAATAAGCTGCTCACAATTACATGAATGAGCTGTTTATTGCGCAGGTCTTCCTCTCGACAGCAATTCCCGCAAGTCGGATACTTGGGATGAATCTCTCACAGAGCGTGAGGACGGAGATGGAACCCCCTGCCCGTTAGTGGGTAGGACTGGTTCTTGGCAAACATAAATTTTAGATCCATGTTGATCTTTTTGAACACGATGAATCGCATCGCGTTCCGAAGAAGGAACACGAGGGTCGTGTTTAGCTCGAAGAACGCAAGACTGAGGTCTGCGCTTTACTTGTGAAACGCGCCTCTGCGGGCTACGTTCTGGCTGGTCAACGCAATTCTATGTGCTGCATTTGGATTTTGAAACGCTATCCTGAGGACTACGTCCAGGCTGATTAACATGGTCTGGAGACCTGCGTTTTGGTTCTGGAACGCACTCCTGAGATTTGTATTCTGCCTGAATAACGCACTCCTGAGAGATGTGTTTTGTTTGAATAACGCGCTCTTAAGAGCTGCGTTGGTTCATACGAAGCTCTTGTTTGCGCTCATGAACGCGTGCTTCATGTTTCATAGTAGAAACGCAGAGCTCAGAGTTGCGTTTTAGCTCACAAACGCAAAGCTCGTGTTGATCGAAAGATCAGCTTTCTCAGAGTTGTGCCCGTCGTCGGGATTTTCTCCTTCGTCGAGTGGCGTTCTTCTTGGCCTATTTTAAGGCCTTTGTAGTGATGTCGTCGGCGTTGATAGAGTTGGTCGTCACGATGGGCCTTTGTGACCCGATACCCATCGCTTTGGCGCGGGTGCAGAATCTTCAACTCGGTGGATGAGTTTGGCAGAAGCTGAGCCCACTCCTTCAGAGGAGGGGTTGTTCGAGCAATCTTGGCTAAAGGAGAGGGCTTCCTTCAGCATGGGAGTAATAGTTGGAGCTTTAGTCTCCTTGGAGACTTTGCGGATCTTGCGCATTTCCTTGGAGCTAAGGGATCCGGAGGAGAGAGCTTCCCCATACTTGGCTTGATCGAACTCGATGATTAGAGTTTTAACGGTTGTTCCAGCGAGCTTGATGTCGGATTACGCCACCACTTCTTCATCGGTGAAAAAGCTAGTCCCCAGCGGAGTCATCATCTTTTGTTTGTGGGAAAATTGGTAATAAGACAATGAAAGAATTGAATGTGTTATTCCCTCTAACTGCTTACAAAAAGAACGTTTACAACTCTCTCAATCTCAATTACAATTTGACTTTCCTGATTACAAAAGAGGAAGATCGACGGAGATCCTCCCTTTTGTTTAAAACTGGGTTCTTCACGGTGGCGATGGAATGCCTCCCTCGAATGCTCGCGTCGAGCTTGCTTTTTGTTGACGGTCTGACGTTTCGCTTCACTGGAACGATATCTTCTCTTCATGATTTGACGCTGTGGATAACTTGCAAAGCAAGTTTTAAAACTCTGAACGAGTTTAGAAGAACTTGCAGATCAAGTTTGAAACTCTTAACGAGTTAGGGAACTCTGAGCGAGTTATAACTCTATGGAAGAGTTGATTGATGCTTGCTTTTTGTTGACGGTCTGACGTTTCGCTTCACTGGAACGATATCTTCTCTTCATGATTTGACGCTGTGGATAACTTGCAAAGCAAGTTTTAAAACTCTGAACGAGTTTAGAAGAACTTGCAGATCAAGTTTGAAACTCTTAACGAGTTAGGGAACTCTGAGCGAGTTATAACTCTATGGAAGAGTTGATTGATTTAACCAAAAATCGGTTTGTAAGCCAAGTTTGATGAAAGCTCCAAGAACAACTCCGAGGGTCTGAAGATTACCAAGATCCTTCTTCTGCCAAGAAGTCTTGTGCCGATCTCCAAGAATTCTGATCTAGAGAGAGAGAGAGAGAGAGAGAGAGAGAGAGAGCCCCTAACTCAGTTGAGTTTACCCATATTTATAGGGGGATTAAGGGGTGTAACTGTCCTCTTAATCTGCTCCTAAGTGGGATGGAAATCCCTCCAATCATGGGAGAAAATAATTTCTGGAACCGTTCAGCTCGGGCTTAAACGAGTCAAACGCCGAAAATGGCGTTCTGGGTCCAAACTCTACGTTTTAGACTTAAAACGCAGAGTTGGCCTGTTTTAGGCTGAAAACGGAGAGTTGGGACGTAAAGATGAACTCTACATTTTGAGTTCAAGAACTATGCATTTTCAACTAGAACGCTGGGGATGAACCCTGCGTTTTGATGTTGTGACGCGGGACCGACCTCTGCGTTTTGTTGCTGACACACGGGGAGGACCTCCGTGTTTTGGTGTTACAACGTAGGGAGGACCTCCACATTTTGTTCTAGGAACGCGGCCACAAGCTCTGCGTCTTAACTCTGGAACACAGAGGCGAGCCCCAGGCGAGCTTGTTGTGCTTCAGGCGAAGTCCAATATTCAGGTGAAGTTCAGTCTTACAGACAGATTTTAGAACATAACTTACTACAAAGAACAGGTCATAACTTTCAAACCGTAAGTCAGAA